TAAAATAAACCATACTAAGCTTGTCTTAGAATTATTTGTTACCATAATCCTTCAAAACAAATGAACATATCAAATTCTACTTATATACAGTATGGTTCATAAATCCACAAACGCTATCCGTTCTGGTGATCTATTTTACAATCAGAATATTAACATTAAAAATAAAAAAGTTATGTCCCAAGGCAGGATCGAACCGTGGCTCTTCGGTGTACCAGCGAAATACTTTCGTGGCGAGCTGTCCTGCCGTGTTCGATTTATGTTCACGCCTAGCATTTAACAGATTAAATAAAAATTGGCACGGGTAGCCGCCCATACTAAAAATATGTTAATATCTCGAAAACTGCGACTTTGACTGATGTTATTACAAACTAGGTTTTTCCGCGACTACGTTCGCGTTACACCTCGGATAGTTCATGCATTGATTTAAATGATTTACTTTGTATATAGAGCTAGTAAGCCTTACAAATGCCCTATTTAAACTATGTTTTTTAAGGTTCTAGAGCTACTCGTATTTCATATGAAAGTTATCAATTGTCGATTTTCTGGGTATTATACAGGGCAAGTCATGAATAAGTGCAAATATTTTTCAGGGCTGATAGATCTCGATAAAAAAACATATTTTCTCTTTACCGTTTTTCAAATAATTCTTTCAATTACTTTAAAAATTTCCAAAAATATTTTTGCTTAGAGACACGAGAACCACTGCAGGTTTTCGGGTTTTTCTGTCTTGTAAATTTAATCTACTACCTATCTATGTTACCATATTATCAAGAAATGATGGTTTCTTGTGCAGAACAGGTCCCCACGAAATCGTGGTTTTTTTTAATTTTAATGTGGATCCCATAGTTAATGGAATGGTTTAAAAGAAAAAAAAAAAATTGTTGGATGAACCACTTTTCTACGAAAAAATAATTGAAAATTCAAATTTTCACTACATTTCAATGCGAAAACTCCCTATTATAACCTTCATAAAGACAGTAAAATACAAGGTTATGCACAGTGTTGCTATACTCACCCTGTGTAAAATCGACGAAAACGTTCTACTTTATATTCATTTTTTTTTACATTTGTTTTTTTTTTTTTTTTTCATTAAAATATAATAAACGAGGCAAAACAAAAACACTATAAAAAATAAGTGACAATAAAATCATTACACAGTATTGCTTACAATTGTTTAAAATATATTTTTTCCCGGATTTGTTCAATAAGATTCCGAAATCGATGTGATCTGCGTACTTTCAAACACTCCCCACCAACTACTCACACCCCCAAATAACCAGGCTAACCAATGCATTAACACCACTCAAATAACCAGACTAACCAATGCATTACCACCCTCCAAATAACCAGAATATCTAACCTAACCTAACCAATGCATTAACACCCTCAAAAGCCAGACTAAGCAATGCATTAACACCCTACAAATAACCAGAATATCTAACCTAACCTATCCAATGCATTAACACCCCAAATAACCAGGCTAACAATGCATTAACACCTCCGTCACCAGGCTAACAATGCATTAACACCTCTCAAATAATCAGGCTAACCAATCCATTACCACCCTGCAAATAACCAGCCTATCTAACCTAACCTAACCAATGCATTAACACCCCAAATAACCAGGCTAACCATTACATTAACACCCTCCAAATCACCAGGCTAACCAATGCATTAACACACCTCAAATAATCAGGCTAACCAATGCGTACCACCCTCAAATAACCAGCCCATCTAACCTAACCTAACCAATGCATTAACACCCCCAAATAACCAGGCTAACCAATGCATTAACACCCTCAAATAACCATGCTAACAATGCATTACCACCCTCCAAATAACCAGGCTAACCAATGCATTAACACCCCCAAATAACCAGGCTAACCAATGCATTAACACCCTCAAATAACCAGGCTAACTTAATCATTAACACCCTCAAATAACCAGGCTAACCATTGCATTAACACCCTCAAATAACCAGGCTAACCAATGCATTACCACCTTCCAAATAACCAGGCTGACCTAATTGACCCTAATGACAAAACTTCATTGATTACGCGTCGAAAAAAAGTATATATTAAAAAAAAAAAAAAAAAAAAAAAAAAAAATCCGCAAAATTTTATTTCAGAAATAGCTTTAAAATAATCCACACTAACGAATAAGCTACTAGACAGTTCAATTTTTGTTGCACTAAAGTGATAACTTACCGTTTAAGTCCCTCCACAACAACTTTTATTTCAGAAAATCATATAAAATGACAATTTTATTGACAACGTTGCAAATTCTATGCGAAGGCCATAGATGACATACCGATGATCGATTAACTGTCAATCGAAAAAGTCATAAAATTGCTAGCATGAGCTGATGTAAATAAATATATTTTCTTAATTTTTATGCTTACAAAGAAGATTCGTTACATTTTTGTGCTTAAATTAGATCATTCCACGTCTATATTTCAATTCGGGAACTTAGGCACTTTCGTCATCTTTTTCGGCGCCATATTGGTTTTCACGTATTTCCTGAGTTGATCCATAGATGTAAACATTTAAGGTGCTATCGCTATTAGTAGGGAGCTATTGTATTCATGTTAGCGTTACACCGTTAACGTTAAATTTGGCTTTTGCACTATGTCTACAATGTAAGCTGTAAATATTTATTTTAGTTTATAAATAAATATTAATTTTATGAAAAAGAACTACAAATTTATTCTGAAAAAGTTTTCTAGAACCACAAGAAAAGTATTAATAAGTTAATAGTTAATAATAATAGAAATGATTAAAAATCATGTTCATCATTGTTCTTTACAATCATTCTACTAAATTTATTCTATGTCTAAAAATTAGATTCTACTAAAATTTGAAACACTACATATTAAAATTATGTTTACTGTATTTAGATAAAGTGTAGTGAAGATAAAAGCTAAGATCAAAAAATAGATGTGTTGGCAATATAACATAATGTCAGCAAGATATTCGGGATGTGCAAAAAAACTCTTGGAAATGGGAAAAAACAAGAATATAAATTATATTTCTGAAAAAACTCCCAAATGTACAATAAAACCTGATAAGTACAAAAAAAAATACAACAGACAATACAAGAATATGACTCCATAATACATAACATAATATATACAGTACAAAAATATACCACTAGACATTATAGTAAATATATATTATATTAATATATAAATCTTAAGATACAGGGTGTGTCAACGATAAAGTCCATTATTTTTTTTTTTTTTTTATTTTTATAAATTTCAGCCGAAAAATTAAATTGAATAATTTTAGAGAATGATCATAGTCTAAGATTGGCTGCAGGATTATTACGTTCATCATGTAGATAATCAAATCCTAATTTTAAATATATTTATGAATAGGTGAATACACTTTTAACAGGGTGCCAATGAAAAAGTGGCCGCAACTTAGGAATGTTATATGAGTGCAAACTGAAAGTATATATTAGGATGTATTTGTCGAAATAGTTTAACTTCTACGGGGTGGCTCAAAAATTGAGTGAATTAGGTTATTTTTATTGCATTTTGGCTTCCTTTCTGATCACTTTACATAATCCTAAGATATTATTAAATATGTTTTGTTAGTTTCAGAACAATTACTAAACTAAAAAAAATATTTCAGCCTTTCTTTTTTTAAATACAGAAAATGTCCTGAAATCAAAACTATATTAGGTGTTTACTATATTTATTCTTTACTTAATTTGCTATAAATATCGTAATCTTAAATCATACAAGTTAAAAATTCTATTACCAAATTTTCTAAAATATAAAACAGTTTTTTTTTTCTTTGCTTTTATTTTAAATAGAACCGCTAAAGATTTTTAAATACTTTAAATACAAAAATGTGCATTTTAATTTCTCATCAACAACATAATAGAGTGTTCCATTAAAAGGAAGAACAACTACTTTATATTTTAAGAAAGTTTGCTTATAGGATTTGAACACCCTGTATGGTTTAGATTACGATATTTATAACAGAAGTAGTACCGACATTCCTTGTATTTTTAAAAAATATTTTTAACATTTTGTGTTATAAAAGGCTGAAGTATTTTTATTTATTTATTTAGTACCTAATAGCTCTGAAACTAATAAAACATATTTAATAATATCTTAGGATTATGTAAGTGATCAGAAAAGAAGCCAAAAATGCAATAATATATGTGGTGTTCCATTAAAAAATTTCCGATTCGCTTACTTTTTTGACCCACCTGTAGAAGTTAAATATTTTCATGAAATACTTCCTAATACATACTTTCAGTTTGCATTCATACAATTTTTTATTATAGGGCAACAGATGCCTGACTCACTGTTGCCGGACCCAGATAAAGTAGTAGGAACGACTTCGAACTGTGGCAACCCCTATTTGCGCCAACTTTTTGATTGGCACACTGTTAAAAGTGTATTACCCTATTCACAAATATATATATAAATTATATTTTAATTACATTATGAGCTTAATAATCCTGCAACCTGATCCTGTGCTATCAGGTACACAATTTAAAATTAATTTTAAATAAGAGGGGACTCCAAAAAGTGTGGTAGATATAAAATTTTTTTAATGTAACAACCAATACAATAATTTTTTATTTTATATTTAGATTCTGCCCAGAATTCTATAACCTTTGTATATAAAGATTGATTGTTGATTTATTATATACTGTAGCTATCGCCAATTTAACTGGTATGCCAGCACTGGCATGGTAGTGGCAATATGTAAATACTTTCATACCAGTGATTAGCATAGAAAAGTTTTTACACAATGCCACTACCATGTCGATGCTAACATAACTGACCACAAAATAAATATTAAGAATACTATTAGTTCTAGGTATATAACATTATTTATAATATATATCTGCCTCACTTTTTGGAGTCCCCTCTATATTTAAAATTAATTTACTAATTAAATTTACTCTTTACTCTGTCACTGACTCACACTGTACAACATAAAACAATATGTATGAAAAATAATACTAGACACTAAACACTACACACTTTCTTCTCCCTCAGTTAAATAATTGTCATCTGAATCGGAATCATTCGTGTCGATAATTACAGGTAGAATATCGGAGGCATCAATCAGTTGTTCTTGGGCCCAGGCTTTATCGATTATGCTATTGGTATGTCTGATATAATTCTTCCATTTCTCTGGTGTAACCTAAAATAAAACTTTTAATATAAAATAATCTAAACCACATGTAATCTACCTTCTTAAGTGCTTCTTTCCAAAGACCTAATACTGCATCACTTGTAACAGGATGAATGGCACTAATCTTGGCATCATAGTAGCGCTTGCATTCTGACCATACCATTTCGATGGGATTGTACTGACAATGATATGGAGGAAGTCTCAACACACGATGTCCTTTCTCATTGGCTAATTCGTCCAGTCTGCCAAATAAATGCAATGGAATAAAGTTATAATGTTAAATCAACATATCGCATATACAATTGCATTCATGTCAAAGTAATAAGACTGTTTGTTGACTTACTTGTATTTCTTAGGTGCAACATTCTGCTTGACAATATTCCAAACCTGATCTTTCATTGCCAGAGGTGGTGATTGGATTCCCTTTTCTTGCAAGAAATTAATCAGGGATTCCTTACTCCAACTCTGATTTGGAGTTCTCTCGAAAAGGGTACTGTGGTATGGAGCATTATCCATTATAATCAGAGATGGTTCATCTAAATTTTAGATTACACAATATTAGATTTTCCCATTAAACATAATATAATTTAAAAAAAAATCATAATATAATTCCTAAGAGCTTATTGTGAATTATCACCTAAATTTGGAATTAATTGTTCTTCAAACCACTTTTCAAAATTTGCCGAGTTCATTGAATCATGGTAGTCACCCGATTTAGTGCCTGATTTGAAAACTAAGCTAGCATTCTCCACAAATCCATCTTCTGACCCAGCATGCAATACAATATACCTTAAAAAATCACTATCATACATACCCAAAAATGAAGTACAAGGTACATTTCTTTACCCATGCATTTATTGGTGCACACTTGTTGCTATGCAGATGTAACGTTTTATGTTTTTCTTTGCATTCACTCTTTAGGTTAGAAACATTATCGTTATATCAGCTGTTTACTGCTCATGCACCTTAGACAAGCAAAGAGAGGGGACGCGTAATCGACATCTGCGGCCAATATCAAATTTTGTGATTGGCTCCTAAAGTGTGTGTTTTTTGTATTTTATTTCTTTTTAAAATAAGCTTTTTTTAAAGACTTGAAATAATTATTATTTAAGTATGGTGTTTTGTTGTGCTTACAATTCTAAGATCTGTAATGAGAGAAAGAACTAGGAATCACTTTTCACAAACGGCCTTGGCATGGAGCCTAGCGATTTTCCATCACAAAATTTCTACTGGTAATGCCCGTCCCCCCTTTCCTTGTCTAAGTGATGAACAATACATTTGAAATTTTTTAAATTTAAGTGTAAATCCAGTTGGTATATTAATAACTTAACATTTTTCAAACGTAGAGGTTGTGTCTATTTGTCTATTTTTTGGAAAACTGTTTGAATATTACAATTGGTTTTACACTTAAATTTAAATACAAAAATGAGTTAACTGAGTTGTGCAGTGCATGGCTCATATGTTACTTACTAGAAACAACTTAACAGTTATCATATATTATTGTTTGTATCTCTATTTGTTCCATTCTAACTGACCTATAAGTGAACCAATGAATATGTAAAAAACATGTACCTTACTCCTTCTCCAGATGTTTTACGAACTGTTTGTAGACTGCCATCTTGCCAGCTCTTTTTAAATCCACCCTTACTGTAAATCCAGGTTTCATCAAGAAATACTGGTCTGAAAGAACAATCAGAGATTTGATTTTCTTTATATTGTCGTAAAAATTGCAGTCTCTTCTGTGCAATATATGGCTGCTCCATTAAATACTTCCTGTTAGAATGCTTGCAACTTTGCCATATAAACTGCAAATATTTAAGTCGTTTCCCCAACATAGTCAGAGACAACTGAACATCATCAATGTTTTGAAGGTTTGCTTGCAAAGTTTGTAATGTAATATGTTCCCCTATATAATCCCATACAGTGAAAAATTAGATACATATAACATTAAACAATAATAAATTTATTGTAGCCTACCTGCAGCATACATTGAATAAATACGTGTTCTAATTGTATGTTCATGTATCTTATAAGCAGGAATTCCACAGGACAAAGCAATTCTATGACTTGTTGCTACTTTTTGTTCTTCATCTTTCACGATTCCTCTAGAACTGATTCTTTGCACAGTCGTGCGTGAAATTCCTAAAGCCTCCGATGCTCTCTATAAAACACGTGAATATTTTCGATTTAGTTAAAAAATATTAACTTGATAGTTGTCCAATTACATCGTAAACAGCCGACACAGGCAAAAGGGGTTTTCCAGCATTTTTTCGAGTTTGAAATACTGGATAACTTTTAATATGAGCCGTTGTTCGTTTTCACTAAAACTGGACGGCATTTTAAACACAAATAAATCACAAATAACTCAGTAAACACAGAAAATCTCCCACAAAAATATCAAAAAGTGATAAAAAATCCTCTTTGAGAATTTACGGGAAACTATCGGAACCGTTAAAATTTAACGACAACTTTGACAGTCGGCGTTCCGTATTGTTCAATTTCGGCGGGTAATACAAACACGATGTTTGTCCTTTTCTATTCGTGCTTATCGGACAAGGACGTAAATATTTTATCCGTAATAATAGTGATCAGCATGTGATCAGTATATAAAAAGAATAAAATAATCGTACGATGTAATCAATATAATGGACTTACGTTTTTGACACAAAATTTCCATTTCATGTGATAAACATGGATAAGAGAGAGAATGACAATCTGTGACGAAAGTTCCAAACCTCACGAATTGAACAGTATATAAGGTAATAAAGTACTAATATGTGATGTTTTTACTGAATCCGTGTAGAAAATTTAACATATTTACTGTCCGTCGCCTGTACCTAAAATACGTTTTTTGCCGCTTTTTAAAAATAAAACATTCATCCAACAATTTTATGCTTAAAATATTCGAAGTTTAAGATAATCTTGCAAAAAAATCCCAAAAAAGTGTTAAATGCGTGGGGACCTATTGTGCACAAGAGCCGTTTTAACTAAAACTAAAAAAATCAAAAGGGTTTTCAAAAAATTCCAAATTTTCAAAAAAAAATTTCATGAAAAAACTCATAATCGTGTTTCTGGGGTCAAATAACACTAAATAAAAAAAATGAATTTCAAAAATCTCTTCTAATTCTTTTTGTAGGATTTCATTCTTCTAGACCACATAATAAGGCGTTTTCATACAACAAATTGTTCCGACATAATTTTACTCTCTAAGAGGATGAATTTTTCTAAAATCGTTTTTATTAATAGCTAATTCACTAATGTCGTTTAAACGAACCTTTGTTCTAATATTTATGTATCTAAAGCTGGCTGTATGAACTGATCCCTAAAATATCTAAAAACTTGATATAATCTAACTGACAAACCACTGACAATGACAAATAATTTATTTCTGGAGGTATTGTGTGTAGGTGTTTTTCAGGTATGTTTTATTATTTTTAGTCAATAGGTTAGGGGCTATGGGAGGAGTTAAAAAATTTTAAAAAGTCGTAACTCCAAAATTACAGTAGCTAGCCAAACGCGGTTTTCAATTTAAGATTAAGAATAATATTTGCAACAAATTTGTAAAAACATCAAAATCCAGTCAGTCACAGTTTTTGAGATATTCCGTGTTTCCGTAGTCCGTTTTGAGAAAATCCGTGTGGGGTACTCCAAACTCCCATCGGACGCGACCCCACGTGGCGGATAAGGGAAATCACCTCAGGCCAAATTGGAAAAATTCCTTGAACCTACTGAAACTAAAAGAACTGCCTACCAACTTTTTATTAACATATTTTAGTATGGGCGGCTATACGTGCCTCCCGGCGCCAATTTTTTTCTTATTTCTGTTTTTTTTTAGGAATATGCTGATTTTGATAAGTATAACAAATAACGTTTAACATTCAGAACAAAGTTTTCTTTTAATATTTTTAATTGCTTAGATAATAACAGCAGGTTTTTTTATTACGCATTCTCGCGGCAGAACTTGCTCGTTATATTTTTAAATTGAAGTTATAAGTTGATAACTGCACCGAGAGCAGCGACCACAACGACAAGCGAGAAAATAAAAGGAAACAAGCCAATCTTAGATCTTTCGCAATCTCCTCACTCTAACGAATTCAAATTATACAATTTAATTATCTAACGCATTGGTAACAGAGCCATCTTCAGGAGTAATTTTTAATCGTTGTTACTACCAAAAATAGTAAATAAAACTGGAAATACAAGACCTAGGTATAAATTTTAAATCACTGCTAGAGGAAATTCAAACATTAACTGCTATATATTTATATCCACAAAATCCACTTCTATCCACAGAAATCCATTATAACCCAACAAAATACTTGTACCGGTCATATCAACTCGTCCCCGTGTACTGATGTGCCGTAGAAGGGTTCCTAACCACCGGGGTGGATGAGGGGGATCATTCAGTTATACTGGAACCAGACTGCAGAGATCAGGGCGGATGGCGCAACATCTGATGAAGTAGCAATTAGGAAGGGCGTCAGGCAGGGGTGTGTATTATCCCCACTCCTTTTCAACATCTACTCCGAGGGGGTATTCCGTGAGGCACTAGAGAGCATTGAGGATGGTATCAAGATCAATGGTACCCTGATCAACAATATTCGCTTCGCAGATGATACGGTTGTACTGGCTGGCAACATTCTACACCTTCAGAACATGATGGACGGCATCGTTGAACATAGCATGCGGTACGGATTACACATCAATGTTAACAAAACTAAACTTTATTTGTATTTTCCAAAACACCGGGAAAGACTGTCCTCAGAATTAACAACAAGCTAGTAGAACAAGTATCGTTCATAAAGTATCTAGGAGCCCTCGTTAACGACGCTTACGACCCCAAAACTGATATTTTAGCTAAGATTGAACAGGCCAGACGTACTTTTGCCTCCATGAAAACCCTCTTCTCCAGCCGAGATCTAAGCCTCGAACTGCGCGTACGTATGCTGCGTGGCTACATCTTTCCAGTATTTCTCTACGGCTCTGAAAGTTGGACAGTCAATCAGACATTGGAAAGCCGCATTAACGCTTTTGAGATGTACTTGTATCGTCGTATGCTGCGTATATCTTTGATGAATAGAGTGACAAATGAGGAGGTGTTCAGGCGGATGGGCAAAGATAAAGAGCTCCTATCAACAGTGAAGGAAAGGAAGACACATCGTGAGGAGTGATCGATACGAGGTGCTCAGACTGGTCATCGAAGGCAAAATTGAGGACAGGGGATCATTGGGAAGAAGGCAAAACTCCTGGCTTAAGGATCTGCGTCGTTAGTTCGGAAGAACATTGATCAAAATTTTCAGAGGTGCGGTTTCAAGCATCATCATACCCAGTTGGAACGCCAACCTCCGAAGGGAGGCGGCCTAAGAAGAAGAAGAGGGGTTCCGGGCTTACGAATGACATTGAGGAGCCCTGTTTTGCCATTCCATCTGCGACTTCTCTATAACATAATAAAATTCGTTTAACACTCAAAAGATACCTTTAGATTATTAAGCTTTTGGAGGGTTTTAGGCGTTTAAATTGTCGAATTAAAGAACTTAAGGATTATTTACTTATAAATAGGGTGTTTGACTGTTATTTTTGAGTGCATAATTTTTGTGTCTATGAAGCATGTTTTATTTTCATTGGGGTGTTTAACACCTCTACATGTAGACCCATTAAAGTTATATTTTGTTTTACAAAATAATTGTAGATGTTAAATGTATTTTATCGATACGCTTGAGCAGAATACTTTATATAATTTCTTAGAGAGACTTCTATCGTTGTTAAACTATTTTATATTAAGCAGTACGATCAGAAAAAAAATATCATAAGGTTAAAGCTCCATACTTACTCTGCACTGATGAGATTCGTTGATGCGGTTCGTCAATGCGTCTGCATGATGTATCGATTTGATGCGCCAATCCGATGCATTGTGCGGCAGTTCGGCAGAATCTTCAAAATTTTTGGATGAACCTTCAAAAAAATAACACGAACACAATGGAATGTGTTCGTGTTATTAACGAATTAATAAATTGCATTGACGAACCGTATCGGCTTATCGTATCAACGAACCGAATCATACTTACTATACGTGTATTAATCGAAGTTAAACTTGTGTTATTCTTTTGTAAGTATGTGAAATTATTCAGATGCGCTGCTCGTTTTGGCCGATTACATGCCGGATAAAATCAAATATCTCATGAATAAGTGTCGATTTAAACTCGTTAGGTCCGTAGGCCATTATATAGCTGAGGCCCGCGGTTTGAACTCCCGTCGCGTATACAAAGTAACCTTGTACAGATTAATGCTGGGAGCCAAAAGTGAATTGTTAACTAATACGAGTTTTGAAAATTATGTAAGAAATCAAAGAACCAAAAACAAAATGTTTATGTGATTTTAAAGTAATCTTATTAAAATCAAGTTATAATAAATTATAGTTTAATAAAAATAGTATTATTATGATAAGTATAACAAATAACGATTAAAATTCGACAAGAGTTTTCTTTTTAATATTTTTAATTTGCTTAGATAATAACAGCAGAAGGTTTCTATATTACGCATTCTCGCGGCAGAACTCGGCGCAAACGCTCGTTATATTTTTAAATTGAAGTTAAAAGTTAAAAACTGCATCGAGAGCAACGACCACAACGACAAAATAAAAAGAAAACAAGCCAGTCTTAGATTTTTCGCCATCTTCTCACTCTAACGAATTCAAATTATACAATTTAATTTTTTACGCTTTCGTAAGAGAGCCATATTCAGGGGTGGGTAAATGCTATAATTGAATTGTATTTAGCACATAGTGTATCCGAGAACTAGACTTATACGTGTCGTTGGTGTATTGTAGTCGGAAACATAGGAAATCCTATACAAATTTTGAACTGTCCAAATATTAGCTTCCCTATTAATTTTACACAACTAAGTCGTAAATAGTTTTTTAAAGGTCGGCGCGGCGTATGTTGTCTAGACATGCCAAATTTGAACAATTTTGGACAAGCCGATTTTAAGTAATTTAAGAAAAACTGTATCTATTTTTAAATTAAAAAATTATATTGCACTCTGCTAGCATACTAGGGAGGTGTGATGTCATAGATCCATTTATTTTAGATGCTGACCACACCATAAAAAATATTGATCTATTAGAAGAGTGGATTGCAAGTGGTAAAGGTGACCGAAAAAATAAAATTTCATTGAAAATCCAATCATTGCTGAACGTCGTCGGTCAATATTCTGATGAGGCCTTTGTTAAGCTTTGTTATAGTTTACGAATGTGTTAACATTGTAAACTTTTTGATTTTTTTTAACGAATGTGTTAACATTGTAAACTTTTTGAATTGATTTAT